TCATCCACTGCCCCTGCGGGCCCGTCGCCGCCTTCGTGCCCTGGGACGGGCAGCGCAGCCGCAACCCCGTGCGCTTCCACAGCGTGCCCGCCTTCGCCGCCGCCGCCGGTACCGCCGCCCCTCCCCCAGCACCCCCAGATCCCCGGGCCTTCCCTGGGGGCCTCGGGTGGGGGTTGGCCGGGCCTTGTGGCCCTCCGGCTGCAGGGTCTTGCCCTTTGCTCGGGGCTGCCCTGTCGCAGCTTTGGGTCAGGAAGGGAGCCGCAACCCCGTGCGCTTCCACAGCGTGCCCGCCTTCGCCGCCGCCGCCGGTACCGCCGCCCCTCCCCCAGCACCCCCAGATCCCCGGGCCTTCCCTGGGGGCCTCGGGTGGGGGTTGGCCGGGCCTTGTGGCCCTCCGGCTGCAGGGTCTTGCCCTTTGCTCGGGGCTGCCCTGTCGCAGCTTTGGGTCAGGAAGGGAGGTTGCCCCTCCGCGGTGGGACCGGTCTGCACGGGGTGGGGGGTTTGCCTTCCCCTGGCGGGGACCTGGCCTCTCCCCAGTGCACGCTGCGTGTTAGCGAAGCGCCTCGCCCTGGCGTGCTCCAGGGACCGGGGAGAGAGGCGCTACATATCCTCCGTTAAAGGGCAGAAAGAAGCAGGCGCGAGCGAGGCAGACTCGGCGGGCCCCGGCCCGGGGAGAACTGGCGTTTTAATAAAGTCGGCACCGACTCTTGACTCTCCACAGAAAACCTGGGCTAAGTGTGGACCTGGCAGATGCAATCCGTGACCAAGTCAGGAGGAGGAAGAAGCCCGCTCTGTCGGGCTCTCCGCAGATGAGGGCCTAACGTTTCCGAGACCTCTGGCTCGGCTGCAGAGGGCAGAGCTGGGGATAGAGTAGAGGCCCCAGGATGTGATCCCATCCCCCGTAGCGTGCTCGTTATTGCATAACCCTGCTCGGCTTTGTAAGTAACACTCGGGGTCTTCAGTCTAACGGTTGCCCACGTCTTGCCCCCTCCACGCACTAGCCTCTTGGCTGATCGGCTTCCTGCGCCTCTTCCATCCCAAGACCCTTGGTGTCTGTCTGCTTGTCCAGTTAATCAGCTGCGCGTCTCCCTCCCACTCTTCCTAATTTAGTTTTTACCAGTTTCTCTCTCTCGTACTGGGATCTCCAGTATTGTCTTCGTTGATTCCCGTATAGCCTTGTGCTCCGTTCTTCCTGCCTTTCCATCTTAGTTGAGAGTAAAGCTGGCGGGGTCATTTAATCAACTTACAGCTGCATTTTTGTTGGGCCCCAATGTATTTATAGATGTTAGGGGCTGGACGGGACCTCACAAGATCATTGGGTAAATCTGATCGCTTGCCCTGTTTTAATGAGCACAAGGGACGTTGGAAAAATCTGATTCTTCTTGCCTAAAGAGCATGACTTGCCTAACAGGTTAAATGCAACTCCTCAAAATACAGTCCTTGAACGTGGAGAAAATTGTGCCCTCATTTAGGACCAAACCAAACTTCTGTTGATCCAGGAGTTTTTCGGTTGACTAATGGAACTTAAAGACTTACTGCTTGTTTACTGTCTTCTGTGTTTATATGTCAAGTTGTCTTCCCTATCTATCGCTGTGCTAACAGTTGCACTAAAATCAATGGGATTGCACTGGGGGCAGACTAGGGACGGATTTGGCTCCACGTGTTAAGAATATAGGGGAATGTTCTCTGCACTCGTGCATGCATATTGTTTCCCCGTATCTCTGCATAGACCTGACAGTTGATGTCCCTGGCTACGGGAAGGTGGTGCTTGACATCGGGTATGGTGGAGCTTTCTATGCCTTTCTCAGCGCGGAGAAGTTGGGTCTAGATGTTTGCTCTTCAAGTGTGAGAGATCTCGTGGATGGAGCAACTGCAGTCACAGAAGCAGTAAAGAAGCAGGTACAGTCGCATGCCCTCCTACCCTGAAAGCTTCTCTAGCCATGTGCTTTGTTCGCCGGGGAGAGTGGTTTCTCTTGGAGTCTGTTAACAGAGTTGTTACGTTTCCTGTATAACGTGGTGAGAAATAGCAGACCAATCTTTTTCAGACCTTTGTGGCTTCCATATGGTCGTCATCTCATAATCCAGTTACTGTTAAGCTCTTTGAATTGGTACAGCAGTGGTTCTGCAGTACCTTATGGTGCTGTGAGATCCTTTTTAAGGGTGCCGTGGAATGCCAGTCAATATTATCATCGTTAGGTGGGTGATCACCTGCACACGATTCGCATGATAAACCCAAAAGATTTCACGTAGGAATCCACAGTCTCCCAACCGTTCTGACCCGCTGTGGCCTTTGAGTTCTTTGGAATAGAAGAATTGCTTTATTATTTTTCTGCACACAAAAAACAGGTGAGAGCTAAGAGCTGGCAGTTTTCAATGCCTTGAGTCTAAAAGGGTTGAAATCTCCTGTGCATGGGGAAAAGGGTGACTTGATATGCAGATGCATGTGAGGGCAGAATGTGTCGTGGTCTGTCCAGCAATCGTAAGGAATGCTGTTAATAACTGTCTTGAAAATTGGGCATGGGAGAGTTTTTCAGGGATACGGGCCGGCTGTCTCTAGTTTAGTGTGCCCTGTTGCTGATAGCCACCACTAGCTGCTTCACAGGAAGGTATAGGAACCCTGCGTAAGGCAGGATTAGAATCATCTACCTCTTCTTTTTGGTTTTACATTTACTGTCTTTTGAATCGAAAGTATTTTGGGGCCTTTGTAGTGATGTTGGTGGCACAGATTCCATATAACTCTCCAGTGCACGTGTGCGTCTCACAGTGTGTTAAATGAAAAGGATGTATTTGTAGAGCTGGAAACTTCTTAGAACAGGGGTGTCAAAATCATCTGGCCCCATGGGTGAGTGGTGCAGGTCTGGTTCATGGGCTAGATGAATGGTGTGGGGTCAGCCTCATGAATCAGATTGGGCTCACAGTTTGGCCCCGTGTGTTGGATGCAGCAAGCATCCTGGACTGCCCAGAGCAGTGCTTGTGTACTGTGTCCTGGGGCGTGGGGCTCATCCACGTTTCTTGATACTGTTTCTGAATTGCTCTTTAACAGAGAAAAAGTTCTGTAAAGCTTCATTTGTACTCTGTTGCTGCTGCCTTTCTTCCCTTAGCATATTACTAAATTGCAGCCATTTTGTGTTTGAACGTTGTGCCTTATAACTGTAATAATACACAGCACCTAGCTAGGGCTTTGTGTTTTCAAAGCTGCGTACAAAGATTGACTGACTCAGTAGCTGTACAAAATAGCCAGGTTCCTTATTTTATTGGTAGGGAAACCCTGGCACATTGAAATGAAGTGACTTTTCCAGTCAGTTAGGTGCCTGCAGGTGTGGACACAGTATGACTGCAGTAGGTTTACTCTAGATATTACTCTATAATCAGCAAATGCATAACTAGCTGCTTAAGACGACGGCACATAATAAGTGCTATTATGATAACTGGGTAGTAGGTGGAGGAAGCTAGTGAAGTTACAAGGATGTCGTTGCTGAGGCAGGTTGAAGATGCCAGACTTGTACTCACTTTGAGGTGTGACTTTGCCTTGGCGTGACTTACCCAGTGTCAGACTGCGTCACACGTCTGCTCCCCTTTTACTTTGCCTAAGACCTGTCATGGGTCTGCACCCTGTGTCAGAGCCCAAGTTGACCGCTCTGGAGTTGCTTGCTATATTCAGTCCTGTTCTAGTCTGTTCTACCCCCATATTGCCTCCTGAGTGTTTGAGATTACAAAGCAGTATGTCACAACTACACATTAGTTTAAAATTGTTGGGTTTATTTATTTGAAATGTGCCCATGGCTGTAGCATGCCATGGCAAAATGTACCCACTAGGCTCTTCGTATTCTGTGTCCATTGTGTTGTATAGACATATACACCCCCAGCCAACAGTAACATGCTGGTGGGTTTTAGTCAAATGAATGATAGACCAGAAAGATGCCTCTTGATTAGAGTGCTAGAATCAGTCAAGTCTAGCCCAGTCCCAAGTAGGGGGTACACCGATAAATGGCTTTCTGGCCAGTACCTGATTATTAACCAGCCATGTTGGCTGATACTGATCCAGTAGTCGATTGGCAGCTTGGACAGCAGCTCTCTGCCAGTAAGTCTGTGTGGGGGGAGGGACATGGGGAAAGGAAGGAGCATGGCAGGGGCAGATCGAGGCCCCCACAGGAAGGGAAGGAGTGGGGCAGGGGCAGGCGTTGCCCAGCCAGGGATGTGACCCTGTCAGGAGTGGGACAGAGCTGCAGGTGGCTCGTCCACGGGGCACGGGGAGTTGGGGGGTGGGGGGGCAGCTCCCTGCTGCTGCACATACCCCCAGGGGAGGCATGTGTCCCCCAGACTTGTGTGTGGGGCAAGGGCGGGCTGTGGGCTAAGGGCCAGTGCTGGCCTCTTTCCAGTGGGGGTGCTGTGATGGGGCTGTGCTCGGGGCAGGCGGTGGTGGCGCTGGGAGGGGTGGCTACAGGGAATTGTGAGGTGCCTGTAGCCAACTCTATAGCCGCCCTGACCCAGCCCCCACATCGGGAAAAGGCTGGCACGGCCCCTGGCCCTGAGTGTGCAGTGGCATCAGCCCATGCACAAATATGGTGGGGGGAGGGAACATGCCCTCTGTGTCTCCCCAAGGTGTGTGCGCACTGGCCGGGAGCCACCCTCGGCTCTGTCCCACTCCCAGCAGGGCTGCATTCACCACCATGGCTGGGCAGCACCTGCTCCTGCCCCACTCCCTCCCTCACTGTGGGGTCCTCAATCTGTACCTGCCCACCACAGATTTACCAGCTGGCTCTCCAAGCTGCTGGGTTGCATCGCTGGCAACATGCATGCTGCATCTGTGCGTGTGCACAGCACTTATTGGTGACATTATCGGCTACACTGGCCAAAAAAAGCTGATTGCCAATAATGTTAATTTTCCTTTTATCGGTGGTGATCCGATATGGGACCAATATATCAGTGCACCTCTAGTTGCAAGGATTCTGAGGGTTTGTGTTTGCAGGTGAAATTTTGCAAATCTACAATTTTTAGACTTAAAAGAACCTGAAATAAGGAACTTGGTTTCATCGTTATTAAGGAAGCCATTGGCATTCTTAGGAAACCAAAAAGCATGCCTAGGTCTCCTTTAGAAGCTGTTAGAACTGTAGCATTAGGGTAACATCTCTGTCTACGTCTGTCACCTTGGGGAAGTCTTATTGCAGGTTGGTGAAAAGATCTGCTTGGAGCATTGGTTTATTAATCTACTCTCTGTGGTGTTTCCTAGTTCAAACCTCATCACCCTGACAGCGAAGACCTTGCATTCATCTATGGCACCATCTTAACAGATGGAAAAGATGCATTCAGTGATGAGCCAACCACCAACATCTGTGTGTTTGGAGATGCACAGGTATGAAAGCACGCTACTTGAACCGCACGGGGGAATGACTTCCTGTGCCGTGTGTATCCACAGGGTACCTGGCACATAAAGCTTCTGCTGCCTCTTGTGCTGTGCAGAATGCATAACCTCGATTTTATCCTTCAAAAGATATTGGAGTCACTCTTTCTTAAAATAGTGGAACCCAGACCATTCATACCCAGGTGGTTCACAACCTGCTTCATTCTCAGCATGTTCCTGAATTAAGGACAAGCTGCTCAGCTCTTTACCTCAGCTTTTACTTCCAGCCACCCCATGGAGTTGATTGGAGAGGCAGTGTCCTTTGAAATAACACCCAGTGAGCAGTTGGAATACCTTGGAGGCTCTGCATAGCTATTTACTTTGGTTTTACAGGTACTTTAAAGCTGGCTTGCAAACCCTCATTTTCATAAGGGCTACAGAATCTAACCTTTCAAACTGGCTGGACTGTGCTGTGGAGTACATGATTTCAGTACAGTGAGAGTAAAAAAGTTGCTGCAGATTTTAGATGTGTTTTTGCCCAGGACTAAAGATATGCTTAGTTGGTGAGATTCCCTCAGTTGTCACAGGACAGTGATCTGCGGAACAGCAATTACATGTACCAGCAAATTCTTTCACTAAAGTAGGAGCTGAAGTAAGTGGCAAGCCTGAATGCAGCGTAGTTTTAATGCTCTAGATCAGCGGTTCTCAAACTTTTGCACCTTACGTCCCACCAACCATTTTGTCAAAAAGCCCTGGTCTCACTATGATAAAAACAAAAAAACCCTTTTTCCAAGAAGTGTATTTTTACGTTTACATGCATTTTAGGCCCCCTACCTTTCTCAGGAATGCCACTTGTTTCGGAAAAGTCCCACCTACATGACCTCTGTGATTGAGAAACACTGCTTTAAATAACACCTAGAAGTATTGAATTAACTTGGTTCCTTCACTTCCGTCTGAATCTACTGAATTTCCTTGGTATTTCTTGTCCTCTGACAAAGCCATGGGCCAGAAAAGTACTGCCCAATTGTCTGCATTCATATGGGATGGAGCTGGAGTGGGGTGGGAGGCTAGCATTTGTCTTTTCTTGAAAGTCTGAAAACTCAGCTATATTTCTTCCTTCCTGACTTAGGTTGACAGGAGTCCCACAGGCTCTGGCGTGACTGCGCGTATTGCCTTGCAGTACCACAAGGGCCTCATCAAGCTGGACCAGACCAGAACCTTTAGGAGCAGTACGACCGGTTCCTTGTTCACTGGGAAAGCCGTGGAGGCAAGCAATGAACTCCTCTTGTCTGCCTCTCTTGCATATTTGGTGCTTGTCCAAGTAACAAGCTAACAGCATCAGCTTGTAGTGGGCATGGTGCAGCTGTCTCTGAACAGCTGTTCCAGCATAGTTGCTTCTGATCTGTAGTATTCCTCCTCTTTCAGCCTTGGGCTAGTTCTGAACAGAGGTTTGACAAATTGGGTGTTGGTGAGGAGCACGGTGTTAAGCGTGAATACAAAGTTCAATAGGAAGTGCTTTTCACTTTTTCACTTTTCACTTCACTTTTCACTTAGTTAACTTGCAGAAGTTGTTGCCATAGGGTGTAGAGGGAGACAGTATAGCCAGGTTCAAAAAGGGATTGGATACACTCATGGAGGCAGGTCTGCCGAGAGCTATTGAATAGAATGGCCAGGGATGCATCCTCTGACATCCCTAAACCAGTGATGATTGATGTCAGGGGGGTGGATTACTCCAGACCTGTACTGTACATATACTCTTCCTGTAAAACATCTGCGACGGCCACCTTTGGAGACTGGATACTGGGTTAGACGGACCATTGGTCTGACCTAGTACCGCACTTCTTAAGTTCTTTATTGTCCATGAGGAAGAAGGAATGATACCAGGAGACCTAGAGTAATTGGGGACATCAGCAGAAAATAAAACGAAATTTTAAACGAGGGGATAAAGCAGTCTTGGATGTCTTGGGCAATGTCACGTAGAGAAGAGATTCAGTGAAAGCTGCTGAAGAAGTGACCCTGCTGAAAGAGACATGGGGCTGCCAACAGTGGTTTAGTATATACAGTGAAATGCAAGGAAAAAAGGTGGGGTAGATTTTCACTTTATAGATTATAAACTAAGAGATATGTAGCATAAGCTTTTCTGAACCTTTTTCTCACTTCATCAGAAAAAAGCCATGTAATTTAGCGCACACTGGGCCAAAGACCCTTCTGAGTAGGAGTAGCAATCCTCTAGTATGGCTTTAATATGAGGAGAGCCAGAACCTTTCTGGGCAGCTCTGGGCACCAACTAGTCAGAGAGAGATGTCCAAACTGGAAGGAGTTGAGTGAAGAGCACCAGCAGCATGGTCTGTCACGGGTTTAATTTAAAAAGGAGGATTGTCATTGTTGCTGAACTCAAGGAACACCTGAAAGGCTGCTGATGCACGGTAGACCTCATAAAGAGGAAGGGCAAGGTACTGGAGAGGGAAAGGTTGAACAACTCTGAATCTTCTCCAAAAAGCTATTTGACCCAGAAAGAGCAAGAGTTCAGTAGCTGGACTTGCTGGAGATGATTCCAGTTCCATTCAAAGTGCAAAATGATTGAGTTAATATTAATCAGCTAGCAAATGTCATGTCTGAGCATTGTTCTGCTCTGAGCGCAGTAATGGTAGCTGGCCGTCCTGCAGCTCCAACCAGAAGTCCTTGTGGAGGCTCCTGGTTTTCAGTGCTATATACAGCAGCAGTGCACTTCCTGCCCCTTTCCCCGCAAGCAGGCTGTGAGGCTGTCATACCAAAAAGAAGTTTTTTGCCAGGGTATGGCTGATTTGCAGACCCAGGGGTGGATTAATAGGGTCTGGAAATAGGGAAGGAAGGGAGCTTGTTGGTTTTGGTCCTGGGGGTCTGTATGTCTAATTGAGGTAACAAGCAAGTGGATAGGACACCTACCCCCCCCCCCCCCCACAAAACCCCCTTTCCTTTCTT